TACAGTAGCCAGGACGATATTCACGATAAGCTTATTATTAAGTCTTTGGCTCTTGATTTTAGAATGCAGCTGCGTGAAAGCCCATTCATTGTTATTTAAACAAGGTAAACATTATATTTGGCAGTATTTGTTGTTACACTGTAATAGTCATGATGGACCTTACAACGAAGCTGCCATACACATCCTGACACAACACTATTATTAAGCCACTTCTGTTTGGAGTACCCTGTTCTAAGAGTTACCGCAGTTTACCTTCGACCTTCCTGGTAATTAAAAAGCAGATGTTCTTGTATTGAAAAATAGGAGCAAGCTACACTTCAGGTCTTCCTTCTGTGTGTGTTGGTTCTGTAACAAGAAACAAATGACATAATAAACTAGGTTTACATCTGCTGTGTAAACATGCAATATAACATATTTAGACACAAACTTCTCTTTTTGCCAGTGAACTTAAACATAATGCAGAGGCATGTTTTAATTCATGGCTGTACTTTCAGACTCAAGATATGAAAGACCTTGCCTTAATATCTTGGGCGGCTCTTCACCAGAAAAGTGAAAACGTGAAGGAAAGAGAAAACACACCTCAAGCCTCATCTCCTGCACTGAAGTCAGGGCTCTGACCCATGAAATGTGCATGAACATTATATTTTTTTCCTAATTGATTTCTTCTCATTTATTTACTCCTTTCACAAAGCTTTGCAGTCTACTAACAGCCGAGGTAAACAGGGGACTGGCAGCTTACATTCACCACAGATAGCCATCAAAAAGTATGTATTTGAATTGTGAGGGTTAAGAAAACAGAACAGCTGACTGCAGTCTGCAATCTACTGAAATCTAGTGATGACATTTTTAACACTGCCACTTTAAAAACAAATAACCCAAACGCAACAAGGAGGCCTCTATATAATGTGTGGTGCTACGCGGTAGTTCTTGCCTGCTGTCCATTAAAACAATGCAACAAAAAAGCAATGCAACGCCTAAACTGTGCAAATCATATGAACTTGCTCTAATGTCAAAATTTACAAGCTAATAAACAGGAACGAAACCATCCGATGAGGCCATTCCAACCAACTGACATGTTGCAAAGTTGGACAAAGCTAGGTTGTCAGAAACACAATATAAGCAGTTAAGCGCATGGAAAGCAAGCCTTGGATTTGCTTACTGGTTACCAACATGCATGCTTGCATACATGCACACACACGCATACACATACAAAAGCACACCGTCATCTTTGAGGAATAAATCAATGCTACAGTCCTTCAATGCTCTCTTTCCATTCCCTTTTCCCAACAACCACCAACAGTCTCCTCGTGCAAGCAGGGAGCGTTCTGATTGGCTGCTACTTGACAGCTAAATTAGTCTTCGGGTCAGTCTGCGGTTCAACCAGCTTGTGGCACACGTTTACGGAACATAAACCCTATAGAACAGAGTAGAATAGTGTATTTGCTTTTAAGCAATAAAACTCTGCACACTCATCCAATATAGATTTTGTAAAAAGAGCAGAAAGGACCATAAATAAAACCACTTTAAAAGAACCTTCAATTCAACTTTATATTGGCTAGAGTAATCCCTCTTTATGAGTTTTTCCCTATGCCAGTAAAGGAAACTGGTCTACATGGTAAATATTACACCGAACAAAGCCAGTGATCTATTCATACGATTCAAATTCGCATTAGGCCAGTAAAGCGGAGCGGGAGCAGGAATAGAGTTAACGGGTTCCTTTCAAAATAAAAGAGGGATGCAAGACGATCTACCACTGTGTCATGGTTCTCAAGATCTGGAGAGGTCGTGGTGTGTGTATTTTTTGTCTTAGCCTCTCCCACCAGGGCGGAACTGGACCTTGATTCCCCGCCTCTGAACCCGCCCTGAACACGCACCTGTGGCTCATTCACACTGATCCTGGCAGACTACTTAAGATGGCAAGAGAGGCTGCTTCCTCGCTGGATCGTCATACTACCTAGCGTCAGTGTAGCCTAGCCCATGAAAGTGTTCACTTTGATCTCCTAGAGTTTCCTCCTGACATTGTTTTTTTTCTCTGTGTACAGGCCTTCTAGACTCCCTGCCCGTCTTCCCTGCCGTCTGGATTTCTGTGGATGTGTGTGAGTGAGCGTGAGCTTTTTGGTGTGGACATTTGGAGTGAGTTACGGATCAAGTTGAAGAGGAGCGTGTGTGTACCCCCGTCTTGGACCTTCCCTTCGGACCCCGCCCTACTCCCTGGAGCCCCGTGTTATCTGTTCCACTGTATAGATGTATATATTCTCACTTGGTGTCACATTGCAAATAAACCCTCACCTTCTCTCTAAACTTCAGAGTCCTGCGAGTGAGTCCTCTGCCTACTAATCTGTGACACACTGTCTGGGCTAGTGTACTCCACGTGGATGGCAGCTTGTTCTTTTTTCCCTGTTTAAAATTTTCTCCTCATTTGATGTGGAATATTTTGAATCACATTCATATTTATTTTGTGCTGATACCAGCCAGAAGACTTAGTTAATGGTTCTTTTTATGTGTCTGTCAATTACGATTCTGGGATTCTGGACCTTTATTTTGGAAAGAAAGGGAACGGGCCAATCCAAAACACCCACACTTGTTTGACAGTAGCCAGGTGTTGTGCAACACCGGCAAAAGGGTGAAAAGGCAGGCTTACACAAGGAGTGGGCTTTGCCTTGACATACATGACACCTGTCTGGGTTAGGAGTCCTTGTTGGGGTGTCGTTGCTGTCTTGGTAGCGCATATCATCCCCTTTTATCCTCAGACATCTTTGGTTCAGACCCTCTAGAAGTTCATTTTTCTCTTGTCTTTACATCACTCCACCAAATCTAGTCAACTTATTTGTTGTGGCAAATTAAAGCGCGAATCATCTTGATTTAATAAAACCCTCTTTACCTTCATCACTAAGCTACAATGGATTTTGGTGTGGAGAACTCACGGGAAACCTCTGATAGCAAGGAATCAGGTACTGCAGATCTCGAGATGACCGCAGAGGCTCAGAGACCCACATGGAGCGGCCGGCTGGAGTTCATCCTGTCCACGGTGGGTTACGCCGTGGGACTCGGTAATGTTTGGAGATTCCCGTACCTGTGCTACAACAGCGGTGGAGGTAAGAGTGCTAAAGACACGGAGCACGAAGCAGACCGTAAACATAGCAGCAGCTACTGTTTTTTATTTTTTATTTTATTAGGCTTCTGCATGGCGGGACTGAAAAAAATCATCATGATATGATTGGTTACCTGCACTCCATCATTTATCGTGATTCTTCAGTTATGTAACAGTGACTGTGTAGTCTGTTAACCAGTAGATTAACATTGAAGTGGTCAGCAAGGGTTATTTAGTTATTTACTGATTTGTTTTTTATGTATTTTTTTTATTTGACTGGTAATATAAAATTGAATGAGAAAATGCAAAGACAATAAAAAGGGTTTAACTCTTAGTGACTTTAATATTTCATACTTACTTCAATAAATAAGTAGAAATGGGCACAAACATAAAAGAAACACATTTTCTGTACATTTCAGATTTACTTTCTACTTTTAGTTATGTTTTCAGTTATGCTTTTTTTCATCATTATTTCATCAATAATGCTCAGATACACTTTGTTCAAACTTTTACACCCGCAATTACAGCTCCTGCTATTTTTCCTCATGCACATATTTGAAAAGTGGCACATACATATGCGTGGGTTCCTTAAGCACAGTGACAGAAACGTTCAAATCTGGGGCTGAAATGACATTGCTCTGGTATAAAATATCATAATCATTTATCATAATAATAAAATATTTGACACCAGCATTTAGGAAATAGAAACTGAGCATCAGCTGTATGCTTTTTGATAATCATCACAAAAAAATTATACAAGCAAATTCTGCCTCTAGTGGAAATTGTACTCTGTTGCATAAATGGTAAAATGGTAAATGGCCTGCATTTGTATAGCGCTTTTCTAGTCCTTAAGGATGTCATGGTTGGCTGTGTGGGAGGCAGGCAGGAGTGGTGGACCCAAGATGCAGGACTCTTAGGAAACGAGGTTTCAACTGAAAATGCAGCTTTATTGCTGGAACAAAACTTCAACATAAAATAAAACTCACAAAAGCAAACAAAACTCTAAACTGAGATGCAGGAGGACTGGAAATCATGAACACACAGCAAGTTGAGGGTGAACAGACTTTAAGGACGCGACACTGACACAGAGAAACACAGGGCTTAAATACACAGACGGCAGTAATCAAGGGATGAGAGACAGGAGGGGAACACACCTGGGAGAAATCACAGCTGACGAGACAGGGGAAACGTAAACCGAACACACTCACATATGACACAGACCTTCACAATAAAACAGGACACCAGACAAGATGCTGAACTAAACAGACAGATTCACAAACAGACGGGGTGACACCATAGACAGAGATACAGACCGAATATAACACGTAGAACTCAAACAACAATAATAATCATGATGAACTGGAAAATGATAATAATAAACTTAAAGCGCTGGGTCACCGACCCAGGACCATGACAAAGGACCCCAAAGCGCTTTACACTACATTCAGTCATTCACACACTGGAATGGCAAGCTACATTGTAGCCACAGCTGCCCTGGGGCGCACTGACAAAGGCGAGGCTGCCGGACACTGGCGCCACCGGGCCCTCTGACCACCACCAGTAGGCAAACATGGGGTTAGTATCTTGCCCAAGGATATTTGGCATGCAGCCAGGAGGCAGCCTGGGATCGAACCACCGACCATAAATGATCAGCAAAACAAGCAAGCAAAGGAACAAACACTAACTTCTAAACAGCGTAGAAGCTGTCTAGATTTTGTTAAAGAGGATATTCAGCAGTTACTTACTTAGTTATTATAAATATATGACTACTATAAAACAATCACTGAGCTTACAATTGTCATCTGGACATTGGCAGCAGTATTTATTTGGAATTTTCTGCAGCTGGTTTATTCAGAAGAGCTGTAAACCTGCTAAATTTTGTTTTCTTCAGGTGCCTTCCTGATTCCTTATCTTACCATGGTGCTCGTGTGTGGCATTCCTCTGCTCTTCATGGAGTTTACTGTTGGGCAGTATACTCGTTTAGGGCCTGTGCATGCTTTCGCCAAAATCTGTCCCTTGTTGAAAGGTAAGTTACTATCCAGGACTTATTTATTTTTGTTGTTGGACCACCTTTAAAACACGTTTTTTCTTCGTATGCATTTATAATAGATTTCAAAATCCAAAACCAAGAGTCCAACTCATATATTTGCAGACAAATATTTAATTATTAGCCAACAGCACCAGAAACTCCAGCTGATCAATACAGAGTCTAAACAGTGAGTTCTAAAATGGACTGCCCTACCAACCCAGGTAACTGTAGAAGAGGTCAGACAAGCTTGATGTATTTAAAATTTGTAGCACAATGAAAACACAAGATTATATCTGTGTTTATTTCAAAGATAATTGCTGTCAACATTAAAACATAGCATATGAATCAGACGACACACAGAAATGGAAAAAAGAAAAGTCTTCAGCCAAGGATGAGTTAAAGCTGCAAAGGGGTTAAGAAACACAAACAGCAACACACTTTATAATGACAACCAAGCACAAAGTGCAGTCAACCCATGTATGAGAGTGAGATGGTTTGAAATCTTGCCACACCCTGACAGAAGCAAGTTTTTTTAAAAAACTTGACAATCATGAAAAACGGGAATAATTTATGTAAAACATGACAGACCTCATGTGTGGATTTTCTGCTTTCCTCCAGCCATGAAGGCCACATTACCATTCAGTGTAAAGTAAAAAAGGATCTCAGATAAAGATTTAAATTATTTATCCATATTTAGCCACGGTGAAGGCATGCAGGTGTCTTAATGCTTTGGTTTGAATAAATCCTGCTTTATTTTCTTTCATATTTTTTCATGTTGATGGATGAGAACTTGTTTAGCCAAATTTTCAACCTCTGTGACTGCATGTATTTTAACTTTTGTGAGGTATGATTGAACCTTTCAAACCATCAAGGTGACGTCAGTAAAATCCGAGATAATTAAGTCAATCACGAGCGACTGAAGATGTTCTCTCTGAGTCTGCATTAGTTCATTAAAAAGGCCAATAAAGTGGATCAGTATATTCCTTAAAGTTCGATTGTTGTTAAAAAAATATAGAAGCTGAGACATTCCCACAGTTTTACATCTCCAGAAAATGAAAAGTGTGGACTCTGAGAGGACCAACAGTCTGTCCAAATCCCTCTAAATCAAACAAGAGACCAGCCATCAACAATCTCTACTTGTGGGTGTGAAATGACGATGCTTTCTCTCTTGTTCTAACTTGAGGATTTTTCTCCATAGTTTTCTTATCTCCTTAAGGACAGAGATTATCTACCCGGTCAAAACGTTTGGGTCCTTCACTTGATTTATCGCTCATTTCTTCCTGGTTAATGCTCTGTGCTAAACAGGGGCCCAAAGCAGGTAGTCTTTTTTTTTGTATATTCTTCTGAATGACTCACCTGTGCAATTTGAGTGCAGTTTGCTGTCATGTACCTGTGATCCATGATGCAGCTTCCCAGCTTCCCACAAATATAGCAAATATACCCATGTCTGAGTTATCCACTAATCCTTAATCCTAGCAATACTTTAATTACTCTGCCTTGCTTTTCTTTAGTTGAACTGTTTCAGATTTTTTGGCAGTGTGAAATAATATAATATGAAATAATATTTAGTGTGAAAGAGCCAAACAGGTGATAACAAAAGGAAGTAGAGCTCACTTACTAAGCAGTGGTTTGCACTGATCCTGGAGATTAGAGGGTTTTCCTTTGCTCAGAGCTGTTATTCAGCTGCCTCCCCCTCCACATTTTACTACATGGAGACATGTATATTTTACAGACATGGATCTGTGGCGCGTGGCATTCCAGCCTTTCGACAATGAGCAGCAGCTGTGCAGAGGTGGCAGAAATACAGGCGTTCTTTACTTAAGTAGAAGTACAGACACAAGTGTTAAAAAATACTCCAGTGAATGTTTAATCTTACATAAACAGCAGAAATTCACGAAAAGTCCATAAAAAAAACAACTGGCAGACAAAAAAAGTGCAAAAGTTGGAAATCTCAAGGTGCAAAACTGTGTCTCTTAATCCTCAGTACCTTTGCTTTGATGACCAACAGTCTCTATTTAGGAAACAGACTAGAAAATGAAGAAAAGCAACTGTACAAGTGTTAAATTACAGACTTTTAGCTGTCATTTAAGTGACTTTCCCAAAGCGCACAAATAAGTGTATTCTGAAAGATGGCAGCATAGTCTTCTAACCATTGATCTCGACACATAAAACGGTCTGACTCAGCAAATGAACAGATTTTTTTGTTGTATTTAAAAGGGCTGATATTTCAGCTAATGTATACCTGTTCCAGATGGGAGCTCTTTAACAGAGTCATTGTTCTGAATTCCCTGAGGAGGAGGCTGAAACTTGCATTTGGTATTTACACATATACTTGCCCCAGTCTGAAACCTGACACGCAGCTCAGAACCACAGGTGTTAAAAGACTGAATAATTTACATCTGCTGAATGGCTTTGATCTCACCTCACTCAGTAGTCTTTTATATTCACCTGCTGAACAACAAGGCGTAATTTCTACTCAAAGGCCCCAGGAATTTGTCTTGTCTGTGGCTGTGTATTGGGGAAACTGGGCAGAGGTTATTAATGATACTGGCTCTTCTCTGGTTGTTCTACAAAAGATATATGCCATTGTTATCAGGCCCAAGTATATGGCACTCAGTAATGCTTTGGGTATGAGAATAAAGCAACGCGTACAGCTTCTTTCCCACAGTTGGCACGACTCCTGTAGAGCTGTCTCTCACTACTCTCTTTATCCCCACGTGTCACTCTGCAGGTGTTGGTCTGGCCACAGTTGTTATCTCCTTCGTTTTCTGCACCTATTATAATGTGCTCATGAGCTGGGCACTTTACTATTTATTCAATTCCTTCGGAATGGAGACTCTGCCCTGGAAGTCCTGCAACAACACCTGGAATGCTGTTGGAAACTGTTCGAGTGGCTTTCCTGGCAATGATACCCACCTGCAGTCTGCTAGCCAACAGTTCTTTGAGTGAGAAGACGTCACTTCCTTGCAGTTCACTCTATGGCACTTTTGTGCTGCTGTATAAGCAGTGCTCGCTCAAATCATGTTGTGTTCTTCTTCTTAAAGTTACTGAAAACCGTCATTAGTCATTAGCAAAGTGTCTTTGACCAAATTTAAAGCAGTTTTTGTTGTTTAACTCAAAATATTTTGTAGTTTTTTCTTCTCTCTGTGAGTGCATTGTACTGCATGCTGGTCAGGCTTTACTGATATGTTCTAATCGCAGTTATCTTGAATTTTCTGGGTATTTCAAGATACTTTAGTCGCATGTTTTTCTTTCCTTTTCACAGTAACAGACTTCTGGAAAAGACTCGTGGTATTGAAGAATTAGGTGGTCTTCGTTGGGAACTCTTTGGGTGTCTTGTCTTTGCTTGGGTTATTGTGTACTTATGTATATTTAAAGGAGTCAAATCCACAGGAAAGGTGAGAAAAATGACTTTTGCTGTGTCATGGTAATTGTGATGAAGGTTTTTTTTTTTTTAGGGGGATTTCAAGTTGACATTCACCATTTGGGGGTTTTTTTGCCATTTTTTCTATAGGTAGTATATTTCACTGCTGTGTTTCCATACTTCATCCTGTTTGCCCTGCTCATCAACAATGTGCAGCTTCCTGGAGCCAAGAATGGTATCCTCTATTTTGTGACACCGGTGTGGAGCAAACTGTTTGAAGTGAAGGTGAGACTACTTATCTCTGGGATGTTGGTTAAACATTGGTACCAAAACCCAATTTGTACTAGTTTGTACTGGTCTGCGTACAAAAAAAATCAGGCCACCTTTTCTTTCTTTGAAGCTTGAAGTGTCCCTTTTGACAGAGTAGGCTTTTAACTTGTGTCTGTTCAAGGGTCAATCTTAAAGCATGCCAGACCCGACCTGAAAAGGTTATTTCAGCCATGGACTCTTTAAACATTGAGATTGTTGAGATTGTTCCTTGGCCACATACAGTGATGTGAAAAGAAAAGCATGTAGAAACTAGATACCGATATCATAAATTTGGATATCGGCCAATACCGATATGAATCCGATATAGTGCGTTTTTAATCAATAAAAGTTTTTTTTAATATCTTGCTGCATTTTGTATAAGTTCATATGCAAGTTTAAAAACAAACAAACACTAAAGCTATTCTGTTATACCTGTATGCAAACAATACACTGCACCCAAAATATTTCATAGTTCAGCAATACTGATCAATCTAATAAACTTAAACCTACTCCATCCTTCCTATTCTGGTATTTTAAAGAGTAAGCAACCTAACTAATAGGGTTGCAAACTCCCAGCAAAAAAAAAAAAATAGGGAACCACCCTCCACCTCATGATGCTTAATCGACGTAATCAACTTTAATTTGATGCAGTGTGAAAAAAAATGCACAGAAATCAATTATTTTTCAAGAATAATTAAATAGATTCAACATCTTTCTTCACAGAATTGCAGACTGCACAGAGGTACCTTCCCAAAGGAAAAAGTACTATAGCTTACTAGGTATATTAGACTTAATAGTTACTATATACAGTAATGGCTTCTATACATTTTACATCAGATTAAAACTTTGGGTGTAAGATTCAGATAATTATTTATTAAAAGCTAGACATTTTAAATGAGAATAAGAGAAAAGTATTCTCATGACAGTGAGGTAAGCGAGTGCGACGTTTGTGACAACAGCTGTGTGCAGATCAACAATGGATCAATATCGGTAGAGAGTATGAGCGTGCAGCGTTTAAAGCGTGGAAGTACTGACCTTACTTTGAGTTTGATTCCATAAAAAGTGACAAAAACATTAGGTCCGTTGTGCGTGGGAAGAAAACTTCTTTTTACAGCGAAAAAACCCTAAACTTCCAAGCAAGCACCGAGTGCGCTACGACGTAATGGGAAATCACAGAGAAACTCGCGGATTCTTCAACTGACCGCTGGCACACCTGCACCAGGGTAAACCTCCGCCTACCCACTCCTGCTTTACAGGTGAAAATAGAGCAACAGGACCGCTAGTCTTTGACTTTATTTATTTTCTGCTGTGTTTTACTTGCATCTATTTGAAAGACTGAGTGTAAACACAAAAAATATTTTATTTTATGTGCTGGAATGTGCAGAAAATGGGTTTAAATGTTAAACAAATTTCTTCCAGTCAGAGAATGTTGCATATAATAACATTTTTGCTTGATGCATAAAGTTAAAAGGTTAAAACTAATAAAACAAGTTTTAAAAAGAGACTTTTCCATTTGATTACATTTTGTATGATGGATTATGCAGAAAAAGTAGAATTGGGAGAGAGAGAAAAAGAAACAAATCTTGGCAGAAAATCAGTGAGGATAGGAAGACCATGACAAATACCTCTTCTTCTCTTTCTTTTGACTGGGTCCTTTAAGGATCATCTGCCTCTATCTCACCTTATCTGTAGTATCTTCCTCTGTCACACCAATCCTCTGCATGTCCTCCTTCACTACGTCCATCATACAGACAACAATCAGGGGTCCTGCTGCCAGCGCCCCAGTGCAGGCCACCACAGACCACCACAACAGGTTACATGTTAATGGGTATTATGGTTAGTTTCATTGTTTGTAATTAGTAATTAGCAACAATAGCTCCTAAACTGCAGGCAGTGTACAAAGATGTTTGACATGACTTTGTTCGCTGAAAATCACAACGTATAGGTTTTTCATCTGATTTCACTCAAGACTGTTCACCTCTGCAGGAAGATGCTTATAAAGAAAATACATTTCCATGGCCTTCAAATCCAAATCAAATGATACCATACTCATATCAATCTCTACGGCTCTCCTCTGTCTATATCACAGGTTTGGCTTAATGCAGCTGCTCAGGTGTTTAACTCACTTGGAATAGCATTTGGCTCGATGATTTCAATGGCAAGTTACAACAAGTTCAACAACAACATTCTCAGGTAAGCATTCATAACACTCTGTCTAAAAAAAGCTCAAACAGAGTGGAAAAAGCAGTCATTTTTTAATAAGATGGACACAAAATGCTGAAAAAGAACAGTGTGGGTTCACTTGACTTCAATACACAGTAAATTAAAATATGCTGTATCACCCTCTTTCTTGTAGTTAATACAGACACAGCATGCTACTGTAAACTTGACAGTTTCCTTGATGAACAGCAGTGGTCTTGGTTGCCTGTGATTTGAGGGCATGTGGTTATATAGCTGTTTTGCTCACAGCAGGTGGGGAACAAAGTTAAATTATTTATGGAACAAATTGTATTTTCTTTCAAAATTTGCTTTGCTGTTAAAGATCCTGGGGTGCTAATGCTGCATGTGCACCATTGAAGGCCTCAGACATTTCTGATAAAGTGCAAGCTTGACAATAACACGAGAGCAATAAACTACATTTCACAGACATTGTCCTTTTTCTTTACCAGGGATGCATTGATTGTATCAGTGGCCAACTCTTTCACTAGTATCCTGGCTGGCTTCGTGATCTTCTCAGCTGTCGGTTACATGTCTCATATACATAACCTCCCAGTGGACAACATAGCTACAGATGGTGAGTCGCTGAAAACAACATCAGACTTGTAGCTTTGTTTTATCTTGAGGACTTTAAAAAGAAGAGAGAGAGATCATCATAGTTCAAGACTGGAGACAGATCCCAGGCTTGTTTTAAGAGCTGATGTTTGTTTTCCTTGTCCTTGGAACATGTCTCTTCTTTCCATGGAAAATAAAGGCATATTTCAGGATGTGCACATCTGGATGCAGTTTCCTAAAGTGGCTCCCGACTAATTATATAAGGAAAATTCACTGTATTCACTATAAGGAGTACTATTCATCAACTGCCTGTACAAACAATTGTGTGTCTGTTGCTGTAAGTAGAGTAATCTAACTGCACTGTGGCAAATTCAGTTTTCATACTATAGTCGAAACTGCAAGACTTTCTCAGCTTAATGAACAGTACTAAATCTTTCAAGTGCCCTTTTTGAGTACATAACTTGTGTATACATGCCTGTGTGAGAGAGTGTAGTTTAATTTAGTTAAGTGTTGTTAAGTGTTTAAGCAACATTTAAGCATCAGCAGTCAAGCAGTGAGTTATTAAAGACAGAGATTGCGTGTGTTCAGATAAAATCCTCTGATCTCAATGTCAAATTGTTCCTGTCAGCTGTCATCAGATGTTGAGGTCTGATTCACTTTGAAAAATCACTTTGCTCTTAATTGGTTGAACTTTCTTCACAAATTGTAATTTTTAATAAGTGCCCCTTAGACAAGAATGCTTGATTGCAGTTTGTGCTGGTTAGATACACTATATTACCAAAAGTATTCACTCACCCATCCAAATCATTGAATTCCAATAACTTCCGAGCACCTAGGCATTCAGACTGCTTTTACAAACACGACTGAAAGAATGGGTCGCTAACTTTCCATCGCTACAGAACTACGGGGCAATGAAATGGGTTTTTCTATGTAAGGGCTTTTTATCTAACACACATACACATTCATAGAGCAACATGGGGTTAGTATCTTTGGCATGCAAACTGGAGCAGATGGAGATCGAACCACCAACCTTCTGGTCAGTAGGTGACTTGTGCTACCTCCTGAGCTTTAGCCCACGTGGTGTAAAGCACAGCACCACTCGACTCTAGAATAGTGGAGACATGTTCGCTTGAGTCACAAATTTGTTCTCTCGTCCTCCCGAGTCTCCAACTACAGTCTTGCAGTGTGCTTCTTTAAGCTGCCGCTAATTTCTACGTGCAGGCGAAATCTTATTGTCTAGCTATATGATTCCAGGGAGTTCAGGAGCTCATGTCATGAATGAAGGACCTTGTTGTGCTTTGTTACACTTTAGTTAGGGTTATCTTAAAAATGTCTGAGCCCTTTACTTCACTATAAACTGAGCTAAGCTAAATATTTATCTCATAACTCTTGCCAAGCAAAGAAATATGTGCATGTCACTGAATGGATCCCAGTTTATATTTTAACAGAACTCAAAATATGCTCCAAATAACACACATTTAAAGTACAGCTCAGTACAGCACAGCCAACTTAAGCTGGAATAGCAACGGATATCCTGCATTTGTATATGTCTGCATTGTAAAATAGCAACAAGTCCTCTGTTGTGTTATTTTTCAGGTGCTGGTTTGGTGTTTGTTGTGTACCCTGAAGTTCTTTCAACCATGCCAGTCTTTCAGCTATGGGCCCCACTTTTCTTTATCATGCTGTTGTGTCTGGGCGTGGACAGTCAGGTAAACATCTAAACATCTGCAGTGCTGTACACTTAATTTTTTACATCAAACTTTAGCTTTTGCACTTTTGAATTTAAAGGAAACATTTGCACACTTGTATCAAAAGAGGTCTCTTACCCTCACTGTGGTTTGCCTTTACTGTTTGGATATTTTATTACCATACTACTTTTGCTTTAATATAAAAGGCTTGAATGTAAATATACAAGTGTTAAGATGAAGCTAAGATGGATCAAGAGAGATAGAGCATGCAGGCTGAGAAGCCTGGAGAATGCTCGTCTGTCTGAGTTGAGCTGGTAGGCTGAGTGCTAAAGAACTGAGGGCTGAGTATTGCCATATCTGCCACTCACAACACAGACAGTAAGACAGACAGGCTAAACAAGGAGAAATATGTACGACATCTGAATGACTGTGATTATGATTTAAAACTCCAAGGTCTGCAGATAACCATTAAGTTTGTATTAAATCTTTTGTTCTGCAGTTTGGTACAGTTGAGGTAGCTGTGACATACATAAAGGATGAATTTGGAGTCAAAGTTCTGCCGTTCCTGAAGAGAGAAGAGCTGCTGGTCCTGGCTGTGTGCTTTGTTTGCTTTGTACTGGGGATTCCTCACATTACCAAGGTACAGTATGTAAGACACTTCTCAGGGAAACACATCTGGGGATGTGGTAAGAGTCACTGTTTTGTCATGTAGGTCTGTCTTTTACTTACAGGGAGGTATCTACGTGTTTCAGCTGATGGACCACTACACTGCTGTGGTTTCCCTTGTGTTCTTGGCTTTCTTTGAGGTTGTTGCCATCTGTTGGATCTTTGGTAAAATTCACATGAAGTTCACTTTTTCGTTTATGTTTAAAAAAAATAAGGGGAACACTTAAACAACACAATGTAACTCCAAGTCAATCACACTTTTGTGAAATCAAACTGTCCACTTAGGAAGCAGCACTGACTGACAATCAATTTCACATGCTGTTGTGCAAATGGAAAAGAAATTATAGGCAATTAGCATAAGACATTCCCAATAAAGGAGTGGTTCTGCAGGTGGTGACCACTGACCACTTCTCAGTACCTACGCTTTCTGGCTGATGTTTTGGTCACTTTTGAATGCTGGCGGTGATTTCACTCTAGTGGTAGCATGAGGCGGAGTCTACAACCCACACAATTGGCTCAGGTAGTGCAGCTCATCCAGGCTGGGACATCAATGCGAGCTTTGGCAAGAAGGTTTGCTCTGTCTGTCAGCATAGTGTCCAGAGCATGGAGGTGCTACCAGGATACAGGCCAGTACATCAGGAGACATGGAGGAGGCCATACCCACATAGCAAGCAGGTCTGGCCCAGATCTGGCAACAAGCCGGCACTGCTGGTTGACTTCTGGCATGATAAGATGTATGTCATCCAGATATGGGCTGGGCTTGGCATAGATGGCACTGTCTATGCGATGGCATGCCATATCTGGCTCAATTGTGCTTGCTTTGTGGGTTATTTTTAATATTTTTGTGGACACCTGCCAAAACGCTTTGCAAGAAGGGGTTAAATAATTAAACTCTTTCTTTTTCTCAGGTATCCCACGTATCTCCTTAATGATCAGGAGGATGCTAGGAAAAAGTCCAAATATCTACTTCCGAGTCTGCTGGCTGCTGCTCTGCCCCATGTTGGTGCTGGTGAGTCCTGTTTAAATAATGCACCTAAAACCACCAGTAAAGTAGTTAATAAGACTGTTCTTCATTTCTCTATATAGTGCATACTGGTTTCCAGCATTATTCAGTACACTCCTCCTCACTATGGGAAGTACGAGTACCCAGTGTGGGCTGAATGGGTGGGCTGGGCCATCTCTTTGGTCTCTATAGTATGGATCCCATTTGGTGCAATACAAGAGATCTATAACAATAAAGGATCCCTTCTTCAGGTAAGCAAATATGATTGTACAGACTTTGGCTTATTTATTCGATATGTTTACTTTTTTTATTCTAGCATGTTAATTAGCAAACTTTAAACCTAATCCAGTGGCATTGCTTTGTTCCTGGATGTGACAGAAACTTATGTATTATCAAAGATTTGTTTTTTAAAATGTTTGTTCAAATGTTGACCTGCTGGTGGATCAGAACATGACTAAAGCCAGTCTGCCTAATCTTCTGGGAACTAGTGTCACATTTTCACAGTAGTGCGGTAAAATGTTTGTGAACAAACACGGCCATTGACTTTTGAATCATGCTGATAAAAAGGGCAGTGTTCGGTGGTGGGTTAGTGGCTCCAGTGACAGTCAGATATTACGGATAGTCCTTTTGCTGATTATTTATTTAAATCTTTGCTTGAACATTACTTTCAAACTGATGATTGCTTAAACCTTACCTTCTTTAATCCCCAGAGACTGAAAACAGCTATGACTCCGACAATAGACCTGAATGTTATGGCTCACCTGCTGGAAATACAAAACCTTGACAACCTGGCGTCTGAAAAATTACTCAGTTCGGTGCCACCTCTGACACAGTGACCACATACAAGGCCTGGAATAAGCAGACTTTGGGCCATTTCTATCATAATCCCAGTTACATCCAAAGAGCTGTTGTTATCTCAAACTCTGCATTTATACTTTAACAACTCGAGCCACTTAACCTGTAGGCGACTTCAAAACCATACAGTAAGTCACCCATTGCACCTTTTACAAAGAATGCAACTAAAATCTGTGGCTTTGTTCACCAGATGAATTTTAAAATTATTTTATTTTGGGTAGGAGTGGCTGAGGAGCAAGTAATTGTTTAAAACGATTGGTTCATTATGCTGTAAGGTTCATTGTATACATCAGTGAGTCTGTGGGGTTAAAGAGTGTATAATGGATCTATCGTAGACGCAGTCACAAGCCTTTTAGGTCACTACATTTATGAGTTGAATACTTAATACTTAATTTTAAATCAACAAAAGAAATGGGTTTGAAAAGGCTTGGTCCAATGAACAGGAAGCAGACATATTCCTCCTACAAATATGAAAGCAGAAAAATACAGGTTCTATAGATGTGTGACAGATGTGATCAGGTCAGCGGGTTAGCAGGTTACACCTGGACATCCTATAGTCTGCAGGCCAAATTTGACCCCTTGGTTCTCCCTGTCGAGCCTGTGAGAGTTTAAGGAGAATTTAGGATTCAAAGGTGAAAAAGTATAAATCACGCAGTTTGTCCCATTTCATCCAACAAACAGAGGATGGCTTACAGTTTTTTCTTTTACAAAATTTGTTAATTTTATTTTGAAAGGAATATTCTTTAAAAAATTATATTTGATGCAGAATATAGTTGTTTTTTTTTTAACGAGACCTGGATTTGTAAATATTTATTTACTGAAGTCAGAGGTAAAGCTGCATGCGTTGCTTGATGAGAGCATATTGCTGTGTTTAAGGTTTACAAAGCATTTGCAAATACAAGCACATGACTGATGCAGAGACATCTGAGCCTTTTAGCAAAGTTTGGAGAGTTGCTGTGCTAATATTTCCTAATAATAAAAAGAAGCGGACCCAAATGCAGGAGGTAGGAGTCAAACTTAAAAATGAGTATTTAATGCAGGTCGATCAGGAAAATGTACAAAGTCAAAAACTCCAAAGAGTGAGTCAGGGAATGCAAAAGGCAAGAAATATACAGAGTGAGGGAACACACAGCTCACACAGGTAATGTGTCATAGGAGGACTGAAAAAATATATACAGAAGGTATAGGTTGGGAACATAGACTGGAGGAAAGCTACAATTAATATAAAGCACAGAGAGCAATAGCTACCAAAATAAAACAGGAAGTAAGACACGTTGGACAGAGAAATAAGATTAACTTGACACAAGAGACACTGAAGGACAAAAAAGGGTGCTAACAAAATACCTGAAAGTCACAGTAACTAAATTGAACTGGCAGCACTGCACAGAATGAAAGGGACTATGACAGTGGCACATGGAGTAACTCCATGCTTGGATAGGCTGGAGCTGAGGTGGTATGTTGCACCAACATATTTTGGTGAGCACTGACTTAAACAACACCAAGAGATGTTGCAAAAAATTAACCATTTTGTTGATATTTTAACTCAAATAGTTAACTTCATCAGGGCAAGAGTACTGAATCACTGACAGTTTGTTGCACTATTGGAGGAGAGGTGACATGGGCTACCACAGCTGTCAGGTGACTCAGCCGGGGCAAAGTGCTAAAACAAATGTAGGACCTGAGAGCAGAAATTTTAGTTTTATGAAGAAAGGCGAGGGCGTTCCAGAGCTCTAAGATGCAGGTCTTGCATTTGGCATTGAAGAGGCAGTCCTTCACATTTAAATTAAAAAAATGCGGTGAAAAAGCAGCAGAAAATGCACATGCAGAGGAATTCACAGCACTGAAGAGGCCAGTCACAACAGCTGTGCTGATGTCAAGTCTAGTCACGTTTCCAGCGAGGCACACGTAAAGTTATTGTGTTAGGGTTTCAGAAGGGTTTGTAGACAGAAGTCTAACTCAACTGTCAGCCACTGACCCTGACTTTAATGCACTTGAGAAGACCAAAACAGACTAGATTAATCTTACTGATCAAGACAAAAGAAGATGAAGTATTAAACTACAACCAAAGTAGAAATATCACTCTGTTTGAAGTGGACATTTTGCAGAAACGTGCCATTTTTTGCAATTATTTTGTGTGGCCATCCACAGTCCCACTCCTGTAGCCCCTTGAGAAAATGTATTGCCTACCTCTGCTATAAAGGATAAGCTGGTCTAACCATGAGAGGAAGGTTTGATTATATTTTTAACCAAACTGAAGCTGGCAACCCACAAGAGTTTAGACGTTATAAGTGGGGCCTTTGAGCTAGTGCTATAAACAGAATCTAGGTAACAAGTCTATAATAACTTCAGTGGGGAAGGACTTATTTGGTAACTCAAGTTGGTTGTGTTTTGACCCCAAAACAGCTGATAATTTATGACTTTTATTTCTATTTTTTTCTTGAAGGAGAAGCCAAAAATTTCCGTTTACTAGAAATTTATCTTTAAGCTTTATCTCTAAGATTGCACTGTAGTGGAAAGTACAGTTTTTAATGTCTGATCCAGGGTCTCTAGAGCACAGTCTAAATGTAATTAACATGGTTCAGCCAGTGCTGGAACTTTAAGCCTTGATTTAACTCTGTGAGGTCTCAGTCATGACCTTATGTTCAGTCCTGTGTTCTGGAGACGTTCTGTGCTAAAAATAAATTGGTTTGTCAGTTATAATGTTCACTTTTTCGTCCTGATTGACAGAACTTGGGAGAACAATTTTAAAAAATGAAATAAATAACAGCAACACTGATAATGACTGTGACATCACGGTGTTAATTTTTTGTCTTGTTTTGTAAGTAGAAAAAATTAAATTACATATTTTTGGTAAGTAAATCACACATCAATATTGCACTGATGCCATCATATGAGATTGGCTAAAAGCTTGTGCACTACAGTACAGGCCTGAATGTCAGAATTCCTTGGTAGTTATTCAAAGAGTGCCTTTTTAGACCAAATCTATAATGATGACGGACCGTATGAACTGAAATTAAACTAATACAAAGAAGGTGATAAGACTTTTATCAGTAGTTTTATACATTTTACAAAGTTTTTATAAATTAAATATAAATTCTGTCAACACAAGAGGTCAGTGTTTACAGTTTTTATTAATTGGAATTTTAATATGACCTGCATAAAAATTGCAAAACTCTTTTAATGTAATAACTTAAAAATATTGATAATAATAATTGATAATTTTGTTCAGAAATGTTTTAAGTCTTGCTTATATTTGATGGGCAGCCATGTGTTGTGATGTGCAGAATATATTAGGTTTCATTCTTATTAATTTTTTTTTTTTTATCCCTCCTTAAAAAAATCATATGTGTACTATGTTGTGATTTTGGGGTGCTGTCTGTGTAAAAACATGAAGTGTGCAAATGTTTATCTGAATTAATACCTCAAATGTCACTAGGGGGCAGCATAGCAGCAAAAAAAAAATGCGAGATGA